GCCGAAACCGGTTTGGCTCAGTGGTAGAGCGTCGGTCTGCGGACTGAAAGGTCCCGGGTTCGATTCCGGTCAAGGGCATGTATCTTGGTTGCGGGCACATCCCGGTAGGGCGTGTGCAAGAGGCAGCTGGTCGATGTTTCTCTCTCATCGACGTTTCTAGCTCTCTATCTCTCTCTCCCTTCTTCTCTGTAAAATATCAATAAAATATATTAAAAAAAAGGTTCATACTATCGTTTGAAGGAATCAAAAACTTGCAAGAATGTTGTTTATACGTAAATCATGGGAGTTACACAGTGCGGTAGATTTTCATATATGATTTGTTGAACCACTTGCAATACTTTACAACTATACCTGGTAGATTGTCATAATGACTGACATTGATACTGAATAAATTAACCTGAATAAGTTTGTATTAAATGTATGCTGTCTGAAACAAACTAATCCAGTATGATTTATTTTTTTTAAATTTAAAAACTGCTCTTTTTTATTTCAAAAGATGGTGATTTAGGGTCAGAAAATACAGTGACATGGAGGAAGGACAAAAGTGGAACATGTAAAAGATAAAATATTTTTGCTTGATTTCATTTTCAGTTTCAAATCTTTTCAACTTTTCTTTTTCTTTTTTGCACCAAAAAAGGAATCAATACTTTTCATTCCAGACTTGTCAACTTTAGCCAATGCCTTTTGAGCTACAGTCATTTTGCTATTTTTCTTTTCAGTCTTTATATCTTTGGTATTAAACTTAGTGTAATCTTCTTTTGCTTCTACGGGCTCATCTGATAACTTTACCTTCTTTGATGGAGGTTTTGGCAATGAAGCTAAATATTCTGGAAGCTTTAAATATTTAGATAGGTCATCACTTAATTCTTTAGTGATGTAATCAGATATCAGGCCATGGGCATAACGAATATAGTCCTCTTCCCTGTCACAGGAAATCTGGTGACTGGAGAAAAATGCAGTTGGCCGAAACCGGTTTGGCTCAATGGATAGAGCGTCGGCTTGGGGACTGAAAGGTCCCGGGTTCGATTCCGGGCCAGGGCATGTACCTTGGTTGCGGGCATATCCCCAGTAAGGGGTGTGCAAGAGGCAGCTGATCGATGACTCTCTCTCATCGATGTTTCTAACTCTCTATCTCTCTCTCTTCCTCTCTGTATAAAATCAATAAAATATATTTAAAAAAAGGAAAAAAATGCAGTTGATTGTACCCGGGCACCATTTATGCTGTTGGTTTTTATTTTTTATTTTTATTTTATTTTATTTTTAAATATTTTTTAAAAATATATATTTTATTGATTTTGTACAGAGAGGAAGGGAGAGAGATAGAGAGTTAGAAACATCGATGTGAGAGAGTCATCAATCAGCTGCCTCTTGCACACTCCCTACTGGGGATGTGCCCGCAACCAAGGTACATGCCCTGGACCGGAATCAAACCCAGGACCTTTCAGCCCCCAAGCCGACGCTCTATCCATTGAGCCAAACCAGTCTCGGCCTATGCTGTTGTTTGCTGCCACAGTCTGATTAACCTTTTTTTTTTTTTTTTTTCCCCAGCCACTTTAACGTCTTCTCTTTGCTGTACTTGTAATATTTCTTTTTGCCCATTTCTTTTTCCTCTGTCACGTGTCGGAGTAACTTCTCAAGTTCAGGAAGTTTCAGCAACAACATGCAATTCGGAAACATATCCACCACAACTTGATCTAGAAACTTTCCCTCTTTATCAGCCTTTATAAGGTAGTGGAGGAGCAGAAATAGAGGGTCCATGGGTGTGACAAAATGGAGAAGACCTCCTGTTTGAACTGATTGATTTATAAACCAAGAATGGTGTTTTCCCTTAAAAACTTATTTCAAACAGCTGCTGTAGATACATATTGAATAAGTAAAGGGCTCCTTCCCCTGAACATGGGTTAACCAATTTTACAAACATAAGCTCACTTTTCATCTTCTTGGAAGCATCTTTTTTTTTTTTTAATACATTTTATTGATTTAAAAAAATATATTTTATTGATTTTTTACAGAGAGGAAGGGAGAGAGAGAGTTAGAAACGTCGATGAGAGAGAAACATCGACCAGCTGCGTCTTGCACCCCCCCCCCACTGGGGATGTGCCCACAACCAATGTACATGCCCTTGACCGGAATCGAACCTGGGACCTTTCAATCCACAGACCGACGCTCTATCCATTGAGCCAAACTGGTCTGGGCAGAAGCATCTTTTAAATATTCTGGAAGCAGAAACACGTGCTCCCTAGCACGGCCTGGGGCGGCAGGACCAGGCTGGAATGGCTGGAGAGGCTGATTGAGTTCGGTTTCCTTTCCGGTGCCGCCAGCCATCTTAGCTTTTCAAATTTGGTGCCCAGTGGAGGCGCCCAAATCCCGTGGCTGCGCCTTCCCGGCCCCCGCCCGGGTAGGTGCCCCAGCATGATTTATTTTGTTTTTAAAAGTTCAGGAATTGTTTTTTAATTCTTATTTCAAATTTGGGTACTTAGACCTTCAAAAAAGTATAGTTTAAATGACCAAATACATTACTTTTAGAAAGTTAATGGAAATTATTATTGATTTATTTTTCACTCCAATTGAGACAAATAAAATATTGGTTATTTATAAAATATTACTATTATTTCATATTAATCCATCGGAGGGGAAGAAAAACAAAACTCATTTCACTGCTCAGGGTATTTCTCATTTTATATAAATTCATATTATATTATCTGTATCTCGTAAATCTGGAGTTAAAAGAGACCTTAAGGTTAGTTACTCTAATCTTTTTTGTAATTAAGAACGCTCATTATAGTATCTACTAGAGGCCCAGTGCTTGAAATCTTGCTGCAGGATCCACCTCTGCTGCCCCAGCCCCACCTGTCCCACATGAGCCCCTCCTCACTGCGTGAGCTGCGAGTCCCAGCCAGCAAGATGCTCCTCCGTGCACTTCCTGGTGACCCATTGTTTGGTCATTCCACCATTATGGCGTCATGACCACAGGCTTTTTATGATATAGATGATAGTTATTCAGCTTGAGAATGTGGTCATGTTGGGAATTCTACTCTTCTCAGGATAGTTAATTTCATTGTTTTATATCTTCTGGTTCTCAGAAAATTTATTTCCTATAATAATAAAAACATAATATACTAATTAGACCAGACAGCCAAACGACCTTCCGGATGTACTTCCGGCTGACCTTCTGGATGAAGCCTGGGCTGCAAGGGCCAAGGAAAGCTGCTATGTCTGCGAGAACTGAGTCCCTTGCATGAATTTCATGCATTGGGCCTCTAGTTTGATTTATAAGCTTTGTAATGGAAGAGATTATTTTATTAATTTGTGTACCTGTGACACTGACTTGCAAATAATACAGTAGGTACTTAAGACATTAAATTATATTGAGTGGAAGTCTACTTTCCTGTGACTTCCCAGGTTGTTTTTAATCTTATGAATCAATGAAGAACTGTATTCTTTCCTGTTTGATAGACTTTTACTTAAATGGATGCTACCATTATGTTTCTTTAGTCTTTATTTCTCTAGACACCAAGTTTGTAGATCTCTAACCATCCTAGTCATCTTAGTTTATAATCCACTTTTTATTTTAAAATATATATTTTTATTGATTTAGAGAAGAAGGGATAGGGAGAGAGAGATAGAAACATCAATGATGAGAATCATTGATCAGCTACCTCCTGCATGAACCCACACTGGGAATCGAGCCCATAATCTGAGTATATCATCCACTCTTTAAATATGATACCAAAGTTGGAACTCAGCTCTTAGATAAGATTGGAGTGGGACCATTAATTATGGATTAATGGCCTCTTTTGTGGTAAAGGCACTAGGTTAGGCACTATGAACTGAAAAAAAAAAATCTGAATAAGAAAACCATTCCTATAGATTCCAGAACGTGTATTGTCAGTTTTGTCTACTTATTTTTAAAATGTATTTTCTAGCTGATATTGGGGTGAAGTTTTGTAAAACTATCAAATCATTGTTTATCCCACTTTGGATGCTTTATGATAACTAACAGCCCTAGCCATATTGGCTCAGTGGATAGAGCGTCAGCCTGTGGACTGAAGGGTCCCAGGTTCCATTCCAGCCAAGCACATACCTGGGTTGTGCGTTCAATCCTCAATAGTGGGCATGCAGGAGGCAGCCAATCAATGATTCTCTCTCATCATTAATGTTTCTATCTATCTCTATTTCTCCCTTCCTTTCTGAAATCAATAAAGAAATATATTTTAAAAATAATAACTTACATTGATCTGAAAGCAGTTTACCTAATGCTTTCACATATACATTCACATTTAATTGTTAAGGTAGACATTATTATTTTCATGTTACAGATGGAAAAAATAATTTCTCCAAAGTTATACAACTGATAAAGTGGAAGAACCTGGTTTCACATTGAGATCATTCTGATTTCACTGACTTTTTCCAAAGTTACTTTATCAAGAAGTCTCATTAAAAAATGATCTTGATTTTAAGGGATATGTGCCTGTCATTGATATTCATCATTTACCCCTTTCAGTTGTTTTCTATTTCATACACTTAATAGAGTCACCAGAATCAATATGAGTCTTCTTTCTTTAGTAGATACTACAGAGTGGGGGAAAAGTAGGTTTACAGTTGTTCATATGGAAAGTAATATAATAATGCAATAATATAAGAATAAACTATGTTTTGAATAATCACAACTGTAAACCTACTTTTATCCCACCCTGGGTTTATTTATTAGGCATCAAAATCTAACCAAATTGTGCAATTTCTTCTCAACTGCTAAGGAAGAATCAAGTTCTAAACTTACTTTAAAAAGAAAAAGTAAAAGGAAAACATCCTTACACCTAAACTTGGTATTCAGGGAAAGGTTTTGGCACTTGAGATGCATATTTGTGACTTATAAAAAAGCAAGTTTTGGTTCTTTCTAAGGGCTCTGATTTTCTCATGCTTATGCAACCTTGATGCACTTGATTTTTATAAAACGGTTTGGAGTAATTAAACTACCCATTTTTATTTGTTATGTATAGCCCGGGATGGTGGAATGGATTGAACCTCCTAAACGAGAACGCAAAGCAAACTATGCAGTGGATGCCTACTTTAGAGAGGCTTTACGTGTCAGCGAGCCAAAGGTTCCAAAGGTAAAAGAAAACAATATGAGGCCAGTTTTTATGTCCTACAGCAGAATTCTTTTGTAACCTGGTCTGTGAATCAGATTTATTTCTATTAGTGCTAAATCATAGTCCATAAAATATAACAATAATACAGAAAAGTACTTGATATGGCCCAGCCATATCAATGGATTTCATTGTATTTATTTTTCTATATATAAAAAATAGTAAAAGATAAATATATTCACCTTATGCACTGAAAAAATGTGTATATATGTATATATATGTGTGTATATACATATATGCATGTGTATATATGTGTATGTATATATATACATATATGTGTGTGTGTGTGTGTGTATATATATATATATCATGCGTTTCCCCCCCCACAGGCTCCACGACCTTCAAAACAGCCAAATGTTCAGGATTTTCAATTTTTCCCACCACGTTTATTTGAGCTCCTGGAAAAGGAAATTCTTTATTATAGGAAGACAATAGGCTATAAGGTAAAATTTAAATTTTTTAGACTAGTGTAATATAATCCTTTAATCTAATATAATCTATTCAGCTAGACTAGAAGGTGTTTTATTTTAATTTGAGAGGTTATAAGAGTAAATCAAAATAGTGGTTTTAAAACCAAAGAGGGTTAACTAGAAGTAAAGCTTAATCTATCTAATTGCTAGTAGGATCATCATTATACCATATAAGATTAATGAAGAATTCTCCAGTATTTTAAAATAGTTATAATAACATTATTTTAATAATGCTAGTGTTGAAGTAGTTAAAGAATGTGTAGAAAGAACAACAGGTATGTGATTAAGTAGAAGTGAATATATGATAGATGATAGGAAGGTTGATCATTTTTTAATAATATGAACAAGAAATAGTATTTTTCAGTTTATTGTTCAAGGTTGATGAAAGCCCTGTTGATGATTAGTAGACTGTGGTCACAGGTATTAATGATAAACATGACAATAAATTATATCATTTAAAAATGATATTTTAGAATTCAAAATTCTTATTTATATTGATAAATAGGAACCCATTTAAAAAATATATATTTTATTGATTTTGTACAGAGAGGAAGGGAGAGAGATAGAGAGTTAGAAACATCGATGAGAGATAGACATCGATCAGCTGCCTCTTGCACACCCCCTACTGGGGATATGCCCGCAACCAAGGTACATGCCCTTGACCGGAATCGAACCCAGGACCTTTCAGTTCCCAAGCCAACGCTTTATCCATTGAGTCAAACCAGTCTTGGCAGGAACCCATTTTTGTGAGTGAAATTTAATGTTACCACACTAAAGCTATCACATTGAAAATTATGCATATCATGTTATTTCTACATGTTGAAATTGACTTCCTAGTGAACAAAAAGGCGTGACTAGAAGTATAACCAATAGTATGAATGAAATTATAAAAATATTAATATTATTATAATTTTAGAAAAATTTCAGTTATATGAACTGCATGTTGTGTTTTAAAATTTATTTTGCAAGTCATTAACACAAGTGGAACTATGCCCAATTATTTTGATTAGGAGTTGTAATGTGCCTATAAAAGCTCCATGTATATAAGGTATTTAGTTAGCTCATTTATATTTTGGAACTAGAGTGGATCTTGAGAGTGTTTCTACTATTATTACAGAGTGGAAGCATTGCCATTTGAAAAGGGTAAAAAAAAAACTGCTTGTTCTTCATGTACCAAAATTTACATATATATAAATAGGTATAAGAAACTTAAAGTAAATATAAGTAGTTAAAATCTGATTAGGGAAATTGATTAAATTTGAATGTATTTAACCAACAGGACTGGATAAAATCCTTCTTAGGAAGTTATAGAAGTGTACAGTAACCAGTTGTACGTTGAGACCAGACATAAAACTATTTCAAAGACAGTGAAAATGGTAATATGACAAGAGAAAAAGGCAACTTATAGGTACAAAATGTGAAATAAAAAGTGACATTAATAAAGTAGTTAATACTATTTCATGAGGTAAACAAATATATACCTAAGGGTTATAAAAAAATTATGTTTAGATCATTACTTTTTGTTACTTTTGACTGTTTTGGTGAGACTTGAAAGAAAAATTAATTGAAATGTTAGACCTCATAGTTCATTTGATTACTAACAACCCTGTGAAACAGGCGTTGTTATCACCTCTATATAATAGGTGAGGAAACTAAAATTCAGAGAGGTTAAATGACTTGTTCAGAGTCATATAGTTAACAGAATTGCCAAGGGTGCTGGTCCCAAACTAAAGTTCTCAATGTTCAAATGCTATGCTCTTTACACTTAGACATCCAGGGCTATTTCTGCATGTGACATAACCCTGCTTCTTTCTGCAGCCCTAAATAACAACTGTGCTTACAGTGGTGTGACATGTTTGGGAGGTGAGCCAAGTGGTGATCAAGAAGCAGCAATAAAAAATTATCTTTGTTGATAGAATTGTTTATTTTCCTTCTTTGAAGATACTGAAATTCTGTTCCCTGCAATAATACACTGCCCACGGCACTCTTACCATACCTCTGATCTTAATGTAAACAGTGCTTTTCCTTACAGGCAGTTTGTAGTGAAGAGCGAGGTCTCACAATGATTGGTTGGGTGGTGGCCAATGAAGAAGATGGAAGAGAGAGGAAACTTAGAAGAGAGAGAATGAAGGGACAACTGAAAAGGGTGACAGAAAGGAAGAAGGTGTGAGAAGAGACGAAGGGATGAATGAGGAGAGGGAAGTGACATGGAATCCATGCTATGGCACCTTACTATTATTTTCTCTTCTTTACCTCCCAGAAAGAAGCGACAGGACAGGGTGAATGAGTGAAAGGAGGGCTTTAAAAAATTTAATACATATTTATTGAGTACTCCTCTATATCAGGTTCTATGCCAAGCACTGAGGATAAAGCAATGAGTAAGAGGAACATGGACTTTACATTCTAATAGGCACAGGCATTAAGCAGGTACCACAGAGTAGTGACATTGTTATTTGTGTGTTTCAGTGCTTACACAAGGTGCTACAATGGAGCATAACATGGATATTTAATGTGGGCTACAAGATCAAAGTAGTGGTCCCTAAGGAAGGGTCATTTAAATAGATCAGAGAGATGCACAAGAATTAGCCAAATGCAGTGTGGGAGAGAGGATTGCCCCTTCAGAAACTGAAAGAAGCTCAGTGACGAGGAAAGTGACTTGGGATGCAGCTAGTGAGCAGGTGGAGTTGGATCGTGTGGAGCCATTATAGGTCATATTAGTGAGGTTGAACTTTAGCATCAGAGCATAAGAAAACCATGGAGATGAGTTAAAGACAGAAGGATGGATGGGTGGTGAAATAAGGGCTACTTATTTAGTTCTTGTGATGCTTACTGTTCTGAGTTCTTTAAAAAGATTAGCTCATTATTCTCATAACACTCTGGAACGACATTCTATTTTACAGATGGGGACACAGAGGCATGGGGAGGTTGAGTAAGTTGCCCTGAATAACTTGTTAAAAATCAAACAACATATAAGTAAGCAGTAGAGTATGATCAGATTTACACTTTTAAAAGATCGCTCTGGTTGCAACACAGAAGAAGAGTTTCTTTAAGAAATCAGCCAGGGGGCATTTGAAGTGTGACGATGAGAGAAGATGGTGGTGGCTTGGAGTGTAGCGGCTGCAGCTGTGGTGGTGGTGGTGAAGGTGGAGGAGGCGGCGGAAGGGGAATGATCCCATACCACTCTACCTTTAGCTTGTTCTCTCTCCATCCTGAGTTGCTTCTGTATTGCCTTAAGATTTGCCTTGATCCTTTGTATGCATCTGTAGCTGAGGATTTATGACAAATAAGAATTCATTCTGGCCAAAACCGGTTTGGCTCAGTGGATAGAGCGTTGGCCTGCAGACTGAAGGGTCCCAGGTTCAATTCCGGTCAAGGGCATGTACCTTGGTTTTGGGCACATCCCCAGAGGGAGGTGTGCAAAAAGCAGTTGATTGATGCTTTTAACTCTTTATCCCTCTCTCTTCCTCTCTGTAAAATATCAATTAAAATATTTTTTAAAAAAAGAATTCTTTCTGAACCTTTTAAAGTTTTTTTACCAGAAGGTTCAGACCTGAGTTAAGTTGGGTGACTTAATTGGGTGGGTTTCATGTTTGAGTTCAGAGTACAGACAGAAGAGCATGGCATGTTAATTACCAGCAAATGCTTCATTTCAAGGCCAGTGTGATACTGATAACTGTCAGACCTATCTTCTCAGGAATATCCAGCACTGATTCCCTTCAGACCTCCAGAAAGCTCAACAGAGGCACAAATGAATAGAACAATAATTTATTCTCAGATGAACAAAACTGCTTTAGCCAGTTACATGGTATTCTCTACACAAGTTAGGTTCTCAATAGGGGACTCCCCCTCTGCACCCCCCCACCTTTCTGCTTAAATGATTGCTAGCCCAAGGGAGAGAGGTGAGGTCTATAGCTGGGGCCACTGTGGTACACAGTACTGTTTTGTCCATTTTGTGTTCTTCATAGTCTTATTCTGTAGTGATTTGGGATAAGGCTGAGGGGTTCAATAATTTTTTAATATATATATATATATTTATTGATTTCAGAGAGTAAGGGAGAGGGACAAAGAGAGATAGAAACATCAAACATGAGGGAGCATCATTGATCTGTTGCCTCTTGCACAACTCACAGTGGGGATTGAGCCCACAATCCAGGCAGGTGCCCTGCCCAGGAATCGAACTGTGACCTCCTGATTCATAGCTTGATGCTCAAACACTGAGTCATGCTGGCTGGGCAAGGGGCTCAATAGTTTTGAAGCAGTTGGGAAAGAGTATTTTTCTTGAGGGCATGCTTAATTGAATTTTTATTTTATTTTTTCCCCCACCTTTCCCCCATATTCTGTGACCAATAAGGTCACAGCAGTATTGCTGATAAGATCTGTAGTTAGATCTGTTTGATTGGAGGTTGGATGAAATACAGGTTTGCTTTGCCCTAACCACTTGGTGAATAGCAGTGCATTTGTACCAATCCCTCCTGCTGTCTAAGCTTTGACCTTGTTGCAAGTCAGACATATTCAGAAGCTTAATTGCTCTTGTAACTTAAAAAAGTTACTTAATAACTTGTTCACTAAACTCTTTAAATTGAAAGAGAGGACTTAATTGAAATTTCAATTGCAGAATAAAAAATCCGGATTGTTTAGAAATTCTATTGAAATCTAAGACATGGAGTGAAAGAGTTTTGTTATATTTGAAGCTGAATAAAGCTGTAGAGCTTTTAAACATGTATCCCCAATAAAAAAATATCTAGGGATGGATATGAACACTTGACAAATGGAGGAAGTTCCATAATCTTTGTGAGTTTTGGTAGCATGGGCCACCTGTTTTGCAGTGGTAGGACTAAGATGCAGTGAGCTGATTTCAGGTTGCTGCTTTCATTTTGTGTGCCGTCACATTTAATTCAGTATTTCATATTTCTATGAAATGCTTGCTAAAACTCCTTCCAAGAAACAAGGCCAAAAATGTTTTTCACTTCTCCATGGAACACAGCTCTTAAGTGCAAATTCCTTAGAGTCTGACTAGAAATCCATATAGTAATAAAGATGCTTCCTTTTGAAAGATAACTTTTGTATATTGTGGTTATCAAGTGTTGCTGGGAACCATCAGTAAGAATCACAGTGTGAGTACTTGAGACCTTTGAGGTAGTCTGTAATTTTCATACTGAATTATTATATAGCAGTTTTAAATAACTTAAGGAAGCTTAGTGCTGATAAGAACCTCATGAAGTTAAAAATGAATACCTTTTAAAAATGAATATTAAAAAGGATTTTTTTTTTTTTGGGTAGGAGGACATAATGGAATTTAGGAGTGTTGACTCATTTCTAATTCTAAAAAAAAATAGCAACTATGTATTTGAATAATTTCTAAAATTAAAATAGTAAATGTGATATTGATGAAGGCATTGCTGTATTAAAATATGACTGGTGTTTATGGAAGAAGCAGTCTGCAGTGGATCCTAAAATCTAATGGTGTGATATAATATTCTGATTTTGTTCCTTTTAAAATTTAGGGGGGAAAGTTTTAGTATTGGGGTAATCTGCATAGGAATAAAGAGTTTATTTTGTATGGGTATTTTCTATTTTCTGTCATAAAATTAGACATTTATGAAATACTTTATTTGGTTAAAAAATGGTTTGTTGTACATAGAAAATTTGAAGGTATTTGGTAGAGAAATATCTTATGATTAAAGAAGTTTTTCTTAATTAAAATGTGAAGTCAAGCCCAGCCAGTGTGGCTCATTTGGATGAGCATCGTTTCATGAACCAGGAGGTCATAGTTTGATTACATGTCATGGCACATGCCTGGGTTCTGGGCTCGATCTTCAGTAGGGGATGTGTAAGAGGCAATCAATCAATCTTTCTCTCACATTGATGTTTCTTCTCCTTAGTTGTAAATGTATTTACAACTCTGTACCTAGAACACAATTTATAATTTCTGTTAGTTATTGCTATTGGAATCTTTTTCCCTTGACTCTGGGTCCCATCACAGGTGTTTATGTGCTTCACTATCTCTATCCTCTTATATACAGGGTGAGGCAAAAGTAGGCTTACAGTTGTTTGTATGGAAAATAATACAATAATTAACACATAATAATCAAAGAATAAACTGTTTCACATACTCACAACTTTTGCCCCACCCTATATATTATCTCTCCCCCCCCCGCATTATCCTGTCATTTCCAGACATTTTGCATTTTATGAGAATATACTCTCCCTTTTCATATCCTGGCAGGCAATAAAAACACTACTTTCCCTTTGCATGATGACTTGGTCAATATGTTAGATACAATCTTCAGGTGCATTGCCATTTCTCTACTACTCTCTATATTGCTGGATGAATATGGGCTCTTTTTGTACTGCCAAACTGTTTCTAAATGTTGGTATTGTGGATAACTACATTATTGTTTTTATTATGTATTACAATATATTTTGTTCCATTGTGTAACCAAATCTAGAATATAATGTGGCATTTAGCCATGGATTTTAACTTGAAAATACCATGTGGTTCTGTTTACATTTTGTTTGTTTAACTGTTTTGTTGATTAGATTCCATATATAAGTGAGATCATATGTTATTTGTCTTTCTCTGACTGGCTTATTTCACTTAGCATAATAATTTTCATGTCTATCCATGCTGTGCAAAAGGTAAGATTTTTGTCATTTTTACGGCCGAATAGTATTCCATTGTGTAAATGTACCACAGCTATTTTATCCAGTCATCTACTAATGGACACTTGGGCTGTTTCCAGATCTTGGTTATTGTAATCAACAAAATAATTCAACAAACAAAATAGAAACAGAAGCATAGATACATAAAATAGACTGATAGTTGTCAGAGGGGAGGGGAATTAGAAGACTGTGTGTAAAAAAGGTGAAGGGATTAAGCAAAAAAAATGTGCATACACACACACACACACACACACACACACACACACTGAGTGGCCAGATTATTATGATCTCTGAACGAATAATTGGCCGTGTGTGTGTGTGTGTGTGTGTGTGTGTGTGTGTATTAGAGGCCTGGTGCATGAATTTGTACATGGGTGGGGTCTGGCTAGCCGGGCCAGGGCGAGGGGTTATGGCTGGCTGGCTGGTCTGCCTGTTGGTCAAACTCCTGGTTGAGGGAACAATTTGCATATTAGCCTTTTATTATATAGGATATACACTGAATGGCCAGATTATTATGCATTCAGAGATCATAATAATCTGGCTACTCAGTGTATATTAAGCAAAAAAATTTATACACACACACACACACACACACACACACACACACACGGCCAACAGTATGGTGATAACCAGAGGGAAAGGGAAGTGTGGGGAGGTGGAAGTGGCCAAAGGAGGCATAAATGGGGACAGAAAGATACTTGACTTTGACGACTTTGGATGGTGAGCGCACTATGCAGTGTGCAGATGATGTTTTATGGAGTTGCACACTTGAAATTTATATGGTTTTATTAACCAATGTCATCTCAATAAATTCAATAAAAAATAAAGTACCATGTGGCATATTTAAAGTTTTTATTTTGATAATGTGGCAGTAGGAATGTGGAAAGGATCATATGTCATTCTGGTATGACTATATTGTTTACTAAAGACTGATTTGTGTGTGTGTGTGTGTGTGTGTGTGTGTGTGTGTGTGTATGTGTGTGTGTGTGTATATATATATATATATATATATATATATATATATATAGTTAATTACTTTTTCTCAAAAGTTTACTCATAACTCATATTTTGAATTTATAGGTCCCAAGAAATTCTGATATCCCAAATCCAGCTGTGGCTCAAAGAGAGGAGCAAAAAAAGATAGATGGAGCTGACCCTCTTACAGCAGAGGAGAATGAAGAAAAGGAAAAACTTCTCACACAAGTAAAATATTTTAAGTGACTGAAATACTAATAGAAAAAAGAAAATATAGATTACTATTTTTTGTTGTATAGGCCTAGTACTGTGGTTGGCAAACTGCAGCTTGTGAGCCACATGTGGCTCTTTGGCCCCTTGAGTGTGGCTCTTGCACAAAATACCACGGCCCGGGTGAGTCTATTTTGAAGAAGTGGCATTAGAAGAAGTTTAAGTTTAAAAAATTTGGCTCTCAAAAGAAATTTCAATCATTGTACTGCTGATATTTGGCTCTGTTGACTAATGAGTTTGCCGACCACTGGCCTAGTACCTTGACTGGATACATTAACAAAACTCAGGACTATTTTGTAACTATTTAGACCAAATATCCCCATTTTTTAAATCTCTTTCACAAAATACAATCTTTTGGAAATACCAGGAAATACATAAATGTAAAATGTAGGTGTCAGTTGTTAGAAAGAAGACATGTGTTTTATTAATTATAATAAGGTCACTTAATTCACTTTGAGTCCTGGGACAATTATTACTAACATATTCTTAAAAATTTAAATTTATTTTATTGACTGATGCAAACTGTCCTCTGAAATTATACTTTACTAATATTTTATTTATGGCATAATTTTATAATTCTCAATATGTCTTTTATCCTTTCTTGGAAAGAACTTTAGTACAATGATGAAAGATTTTTGAAACTTTAAAAGGTAATCATTGTATACTTAACAGCTAATAGCTCCTCAGAATAGAGAGCCCAGCTATAAAACCACATACATATGGACAGATAATTTTTTACTAAGAAACCAGAAACACAATGGAGTAAAGACAGTCTCTTCAATAAACAGTGCTGAAAAAATTGTAAAGTCATATGCAAGCGAATGAAACTGGACTACAGTTTGTCCCCATGTACAAAAATTAGTTTAAATTGGATCAAAGACCTAAACGTAAGACCCAAAACAACAAGTTAATAGAAGAAAATATAGGTACCAAACTTACGGACCATGGTTGTAGAGAACATGTTATTTACACCAAAGGCAAGGGCATGTATAAAATATGGGATTATAAAAAAAATATACAATATCTTGAAACTATAAATCAGTTTTTAGTACTTGGAGAGAAGTACATTCTCTTCATGATAGAAAAGCAGTTCTTTTTTTTTTTTTTTTTATAAATAACACTCATTCAACTTTTGATTCCAACATAAAACACCTAGGATTTTATGAGGAGAAACATTTTCAATCTTTTAAACTGTTTTAATATATCATTGTATAGAAGTAAATGGAACAATAAATGGATTTGTTAATTGAACCTTGATTGATAATGCTTAATTTTTTGTTCACCAGGGATTCACAAACTGGACTAAGCGTGATTTTAACCAATTTGTTAAAGCTAATGAGAAGTATGGAAGAGATGACATTGATAATATAGCTCGAGAGGTGGAGGGCAAATCCCCTGAGGAGGTCATGGAGTATTCAGGTTTGTATATAACTTCAAACATGATGTTTAATTGCAATCTTATTAATTTCATTGGTGTCACTGTAATTGTGCCATTGTTCAGAGATCTTTTAAACTATTATGAATAAAGTACAGGTGAGAATTTCTATACTATACTAATAAAAACCTAGGTGGTCCTCACATCCTCATGCGATGCCCTCATGTCATCATAAGATGGCTACCCTATGTCATCACAAGATGGCTGCCCCCACGTCATCACAAGATGGCCATCACAAGATGGCTGGCAGGGGAGGGCAGTTTGAGGTGAGATCAGGCTGGCAGGGTGGCAGGGGAGGGCAGTTGGGAGCGAGATCAGGCCTGCAGGGGCAGGCAGTTGAGGGCGATGGGGTTGGCAGGGGAGGGCAGTTGGGGTTGACCAGGCCTGCAGGGGAAGGCAGTTGGGGGCCATTGGGCTGGCAGGGGAGAGCAGTTGAGGGCCATCAGGCTGGCAGGGGGTGGCAGTTGGGGTTGACCAGGCCTGCAGGGGAATGCAGTTGGGGGCAATCAGGCTGGCAGGGGAGCTGTTAGGTGTCAATCAGGCTGGCCAGGGAGCGGTTAGGGGTGATCAGGCTGGTAGGCAGGTGAGTGGTTATGAGCTAGCAGTCTCGGATTGTGAGAGGAATGTCTAATAGTTGGACATCAACCAAGGAGTCCCAGATTGGAGAGGTGCAGGCTGGGCCGAGGGACATACCCCAGTACATGAATTTCATGCACTGAGCCTCTAGTAAAATGTAATTCTATTTCTAAAAAAAAGATTTTAAGAGTTATCAAAACAAAGTAAATGCTGTTGTCCCTAGTGGTTAGCTAGTGGAGCTAAGTAAAGCCCTGATGAGAAAAAAGGCTATTGGATAAAGCATTGAGAAAATGTTTCCCACTTTTCCACCTCTGGAATTTGATCCTCTTCTGGGTAAAGATTTTTTTCTTTTTATTTATTGATTAAGGTATTACATATCTGTCCTTATCCCCCATTGTCCCCCTCTACCCCTTCTTCTGGGAAAAGTTTGAGATTTCAGGTTCAGCAGATTGAATTAGTGTCTTTCTATGTCATCCTTCAAGTAGAGAATTCCAATTGGGCCCTTTTAGGTCCTCAGACACTGTCAGGGTTCCAATGAAATCTAGGCGGGTCTTGTGGGTTTCATTAATTTCAGAAAAGCTGAAATAAATATAAAAAGACTGCTTGAATAAATCTGTTGATTGACCCTAGAATCATGTCCCTGTTTTACTCAGCTGTTTCTTTGGTATTGACCAGAACAGGTTAGCTGCTGAAGCACATAGAATTAATACAATTCCCATGCCACAGTGTATTCAACTTCCAGTTTCTAAAAAAAATCTTATCAAATATAGGCAATTATGTCTAGGAAATTTTCTATATGTAGAATAGGAAGTTTCTGACTTTCAAATAGGCTGGGCTCTCATATTTAGTTTGAATATTAGCTGTTTAGAATCTAGTACATTTCCCCCATAAAAACAATGTTACAAAGTAGTCTTAGGTTTCTATGCTAGTCTCTCAAATCCTACTTAGCTTAACAACTCAAATTCTATAAGGAAGAGACATTATAATACTAAGAAATATGTCAAGGATTAATATAAAGTGGGACCAGTTCTTAAGATATCTATAGTGTCAGTGTTTGAAGAAATCCAGATTTAATTAGAGAATACATTTTTTTTCCTTTTGGAAATATGAAAGGGTCTTCTGATGATTACCAGGGAATTTAGAGGTTGATTATATTGAGTTTTTATTTCATATAGTATAAATCAAGTTTATAAACTTCCTATTTTCCTTGATATTGGCATAACACTTATATTACTCTTAAGCTTTATTACATAAATTTAGAGCACTTGGTGGCTTAGAGGGAGTAAAAAAGATGAGAGAGACATTTTATCAGCAAGAGTTGAATAAAAGAATGTAAAAGGATATGTGCAGAGTGATATTCTGAAGTAGAATTTTTTTCAAAATAGCATCAGTGTATATGAAGCACTCACTGATCTTATTTTCAGTGACCTGTAGCTTATTTTTTAAACTTACTTGGAATAGCCTTTTCTCTAAAAAACAAAACAAAACATCAAGTCACCCTAATTTTGCAAGAAAACAAGTGATTAAAAAAGATAACATGTCAGATATTGCCTCAAATTTGATACCAGGCGTGGTGGCATGACTAGCTCAGGATGGTTTAATTTGGGCTCTGTCAGAGGGTGGGGAAATTGGAATAGTTTATGTAGTTGGTTACAATAAGAGAAGAAATACCTACTATTGGCTATTAATGAGTATCTTATACATAGTAGGCACTTAAACATGTGTTGAATGAATAATTGAAAGAATGAATAAATGAATACAGGTGCTTATACAAAGTGATGTGCTAAAAATTCTCTCTTTTTAAAAAAGTCCTCACCTGAGGATATGTTTTTATTGATTTTTAGAGTGAGAGGAAGGGAGAGGGAGAGGGAGAGGAAGAGGGAGAGGGAGAAGGAGAAGGAGAGGGAGAAGGAGAGGGAGAGGAAGAGGGAGAGGGAGAGGGAGAAGGAGGGAGGGAGGGAGAAAGAGAGGGAGAGGGAGGGAGAAAGAGAGGGAGAGGGAGGGAGGGAGAAAGAGGAAGAGGGAGAGAGAGGGAGAGGGAGGGAGGGAGAAAGAGAGGAAGAGGGAGGGAGGGAGGGAGGAAGGGAGGGAGGGAGGGAGGGAGGGAGGGAGGGAGGGAGGGAGAGAGAGAGAGATAGAGAGAGAGAGAGAGAGACATCAGTTAGTTGTCTCTCATATGTACTCTGACTATGGATCTAACTGCAACCTAGGTATGTGACTTGACCAGGAATCAAATTCACGACCTTTAGGGGTATGGGATGACTCTCCAATCAACTGAGCCACACTGATCAGGGTAACATTCCTTCTTATAGGGTCTAAAATTGAAAAATTTGAGAGTATGTCATTAAAAAGACTTTTTACTGAAGTTACATTAATGCATATTAATGCAGCCAGATTATTTGGCTCATATAAAATTAGGGTGACTTGGTGTTTTGTTTTGTTTTTTAGAGAAAAGGCTATTCCAGGTAAGTTTAAAAAATAAGCTACAGTGATTGCTTCCAAAGGCGAAGCAATGGTTTCAATAGTTGCTGTTTCATAGGAAATTTGAATTAATCTGTTGATAATGTTTTCCTTTTTGTTTTTGCTTGCTAAGAAGCAGTGCTCTCTAAGTTATATGGTCATCTTCTCTCCTGTTTCACTTTATGTATTTGATCACTTCTGCATCATGTTGGAATAAAAGTAGTGCATAAACCAGTATTGGTAGTATCTTAAAATCCTGTCATTTGGGATGGATAATAAAAAATGCCATTTGTATTTAATAATTTAACATATACAGAGGGATATGAATCTTAAACATCATTTTACTGTGTCCTTTTCTGTTAATTCTTCATTGTACAATTTTGTGGATTTATTTTCTTAAGATGATAGTATTCTAAAGTAGTAACTCTGTCTTTCAGCTGTATTTTGGGAACGTTGCAATGAATTACAGGACATTGAGAAAATTATGGCTCAAATTGAACGTGGTGAAGCAAGAATTCAACGAAGGATCAGTATCAAGAAAGCTCTGGATGCCAAAGTACTATATTTCATAATTGTAAAATTATTATTAGACTAGAGGTCCATTGCACGAAATTCATACACTGGGGGGGGGGGAGGAAGGGAGGGGAGTCCCCTCAGCCCGGTCTGGCCAGTGATCAGGGCCATCTGTAGGGCGACTGACGGGCAGAGCCCCTGCTGGCACCCACCTTGGCTGGTGGCCTGGTGCTGCCTGCTGGCCGGCCCTGCCCCCCAATCATCACTGCCAGTTGCCCCCCTTGTGGTCAGTGTCATAGTGACTGGTCGTTCCGCCATTCGGTAGATTTGCATATTAGGGTTTTATTATATAAGATTATTTTAATTGATATGGTTACTAGCTTTGACTTATTGCACATTTAGTTAAAACACTAACTTGTTTAAATCCACAGATTGCAAGATATAAGGCTCCATTTCATCAGTTACGCATTCAGTATGGAACCAGCAAAGGAAAGAACTATACTGAGGAAGAAGATAGATTCTTGATTTGTATGTTACACAAAATGGGCTTTGATAGAGAAAATGTGTATGAAGAATTAAGACAATGCGTACGGAATGCTCCTCAGTTTAGATTTGACTGGTTTATCAAGTCTAGAACTGCCATGGTATGTATTCCTTTCTTACTTCTTTTAACTTTTATTTTGAAAATTTCAAATATTATATTATATTATTCACTTAGATTCTCTAATTGCTAACATTTAACACATTGACTTTGTCCCCCACCGATATATGCATGTATATACATATACATACATATATATATTCTATAGTTTGCATTCAGAAATACATCTTTATTTTATATTTATAAATATACATATCTATACTTTTGAACATTTGAAAGTAACTTGCATACATCATTAGTATTCACTTCTAAATACCTCAGCGTTTATCTAAAAAAAAAGAACATTTTCCTACATAACCACAATATCTTGATCCTACCTGAAAATGTTAACATCGATTCAATAATGTTATCCATTATTCAGTGCATGTACAAAATTTCCCAATTGTCCTACAAGTATCTTTAATAGCTGTTGTTTAAACTTGATGATCCAGTCAAAATTCAAACATTAAATTTGGCTATTTAGTCTTTTTAGTGTCCCCCCCCCCCCCCCCGAGCATATGTTATTATCTTTTATCAATTTTAGGGAGAGGAAGAGGGAGGGATGGAGGGACAGAGAGAGGTAGGGAGGGTGGGAAGAAGAGAAGGAGGGAGGGAGGGAGAGAGAGAGAGAGAGATGTGAGAGAGAAGCATCGATCAGTTGCCTCTCGGTATGTGAATCTGCAACCTGGGTAAGTGCTCTGACCAGTGGTCAAACTCACCACCCTTTGGAGTATAGGATGATATTCCAACCAACTGAGCAACACTGGTCAGGGCTCTTTAGTGTCTTTTAAACTACAACTTTATGTTTTTGCTCATTGCTAGACTTAGATTAAGCATTTTTGGCAAGAATATTACATAAATGATAGGTACTTCTTATTGTATTACATCATTAGGCACATGTCAGATTATCACTCGATGAGGCTAAGTTTGATCACTTGGTTAATATGGTGACAGCTAGAACTCTCCACTTTAAAGGTACATTTTCCTCTTTGTTATTAGGCAGATGATACTTGAGACTGTTTATATAACTTAAGGATTTATTTTTAATGAGAATGAATTGTTGCCTAAGTGGATTCTTTTTTTTTTAAAGATACATTTTATTGATTTTTTACAGAGAGGGAATGAGAGGGATAGAGAGTTAGAAACATAGATGAAAGAGAAACATCGATCAGCTGCCTCCTGCACACCCCCCCACTGGGGATGTGCCCGCAACCAAGGTACATCTGGAATCGAACCTGGGACCCTTCAGTCCACAGGCCAATACTCTATCCACTGAGCCAAACCAGTTATGGCCTAAGTGGATTCTTTATAAAATTATTATGAGACAAAGTATACTTAAGTAGGAGATATATTTTTATTTTAGCTACTTATAATTTATTCTGGTACTTTCTAATCTGAATTGTGTTTTTATTAAATTATAGTGCTGCTCAGCAGTGTTCTGATGATATTGAAATAAATGCAACACATTTTTAATGTCGACATCATCAATTTTTTGAAAGCTGAATTAAAACAAAAATAACTTTTAAATAGCCTAAAAATTAAAAGTAACCAGAAACTAACAATCCAAATATTGAACTTTTTTTTTTAAGTAGTTGCTATCTACCATAAATGCTTTCTTGGCCAAAGCTTCCTAGGGGTGCAAAGATTTTATTTGACTTTGAATTTCAGTTCAAGTTGAATAATAAGAGAAGAAAAAAATCTGAGTTGCCATATTGAAGATGCTAATTTTGGCAGATGCTTTATAAGATCAGATATTCCTTAAAGCTTTATAAAAAATTTAGAGTGTTCTGTAGGATTGTTATTAGAATGTTCCTGTCAAGTTTATGGAATATGTAATGCTGGGAGAGCTAGCAAATTCTTTGGATAAAGCCAGGATCCAAATGGAACTAGAGAAATTGGAATGATGGATCTGTTGGATCTTACAACATAATACTTAATAGGAATAAACATAAAGTGCTATACTTTTTTGGAAGAATATGAGGTGTATCTATATATAAAAGCTGAAGTGACTGGATGACCAAAAGACCGAACAACCATTTGAGCAGTCACTATGACACACTGACCACCAGGCGGCAGATGCTCAATACAGGAGATGCTCTCTGGTGGTCAGTACACTCCCACAGCCAACTTTCTATGGCCAGCCAACATCCCATGGTCCCTCCCTCAGCTGGCTGGCCCCAATGAGCCCCAATCTGGACTGGGTGAGATGACCCTGATCGTCCTGATCGCTGGCCAGACCTAGGGACTCTACCGTGCATGAATTTCATGCACTGGGCTTCTAGTATAAGATTCAGTAGAAAGTACTGGGAAGAGAATAAAAAATTAATCTATAGCATGAAGGGCAAAGTTTGGATGTAGTGAAGAGTTGTTTGATAGGGTTCTTTGGCTAACTGACATAGATCATTGAAGAACACTGTAGAATAGTTTGTCTATTAGATTTCAAAATGAGATTTTATTTTGATTGTCTGAGGCTTTGGCAGTGAGCTTCTTAGCCTTTTAAGGTGCCTTCTAGCTTAGTACATCTTTGACCATGTTTTGCAGAGAATTCCTTTGAAGGATTTTTTGAGTTATAATGGGCATATAGCACTAGTTTCAGGTGTATAATGTAATAATTTGATATTTGTATATACTGCCAAATGATCACCACAGTAAGTCTAGTTACCATTTTTTTTCCATTTAGAGTTAGAAAGAATTTTTTTTTCTTGTGGTGAGAACTTTTAGGATTTAATCTCTTGGCAACTTTTAAGTATACATTACATTATTATTATTATTTTAAAGATTTTTAAAATTGGTTTTTATACAGAGGAAGGGAGAGGGAGGCAGAAATATCAACTGTCTGCCTCCTGCACGCCCCCTGCTGGGGATTGAGCCCACAACATGGGCATGTTCCCTGACTGGGAATGGAACCAGCAACCCTTTGGTGCACAGAACACCTAACCAACTTAGCCACACTGGCCAGTGCTGTAATAATATTGACTGTAGTCACTATGCTGTACATTACATCTCCATGGCTTATTTATTTTATGACTAGAGGCCCAGTGCATGAAATTCATGCACAGTAGAGTCCCTAGGTTGGGCCAACGATCAGGACCAGTCAGGTTCTGCCTCCCTGCCCTCTCCTTCCCTTGCTGCCTATTTTAAGGCAGCCACGGTGCGGCCCATCCTCTCTCCTCCCACCCTTCCTGTCTCCTCCTTCCCTCGCTCCCTCAGTGCCCTACTGCTGCCACTAGTCACCCACCATGTTCTGTGCCACCCCCTGGTGGTCAGTACACGTCATAGCAAGCGATCAAACTCTCGGTCTCACGGTTGAACTCCTGAGGGGACACTTTGCATATTAGCCTTTTATTGCTATAGATTGGAAGTTTATACTTTTTGTATTTAGCATTTTAGCCATTTGGAGGTTTATGCATTTAACTATTTAATTTAGAGCAGCAACAACAACTTTTAAAAGACAAATGCCTACTTGCATTTTTGGTGAATCATATTTTATATCATACACACCCTTTTAGGTGGTGGAACTTTTGCTCAATTTTCAAATATATTTCAGTGATATTTTATTAATTTTTAAAAAGGTTGAGAGTTTAATGCTGTTTTCAGTTTCTGGAATCATTAAACAAAAGCAGTAGGATGAAATACCGTAGATCCAGAAGTGCAAGGAAAAGCTTATATTGTTTGCAATATGAACATACCTGTAGAACTATATAAACATTTCGTCTTCCAAGAAAAAAAACAACAAGTATATTATTAACAGCCACTAGATGTCCCTGAACTCCCTTGTAAAGAATCTTTTTCCTCCATTTTCTTTCTACAAAACATTTATCTGTTTTTTTTTTTTTTTTTAACCAAGATATTTAAAACTCTAATGTATATTTTCCAAAGAGGAGATATTAACTACATAGCTAATGAACAATGAAACCTTTATTTTGTCTTTTGAAAATGACATCTCTGTCCTTAATTACCTTCTAGAAGGTACAATTTATGATTTCTAACAGATCTTTAAAATATGTAATAGTTTATTTTTATATTAAAATATTGTAATATGAAGTGTTTTGTTTGTTAACTTTTCTGTCATATTGTTTTTATTTTCCTCCTGGGTAATGGATCATTTTTGCTTATATATCTGGAATTAGAGTACAGGTAGTATATTTTAAAATATATTTAAACCATCTTTTTTGGAATAAGTTATAATATTAATCATTAGGAAAATGAAATAAGTCAGTCAAATATCATATGATTTCATTTATATGTGGAATCTAAAAAACAATGTAAACAAACAAAACAGAAACAGACTCATAGATACAGAGAATAAACCTATGGTTGCCAGAGCGGAGAGGGGTTGGAGGAAGAGGTGAAAACATTGAAAGGTTTGAGAAGTACAGAAGTACAAATAGTCATGGGAATGTAAAATACAACATAGGGAATATAGTTAATAATATCGTACTGAAAATATGGGGGGAACCCTTACTTAACTATGATTATCTAACCACTATGATGTACACCTGAAACTAATACAAAATAATATTGAATGTAAACCATAATTGAAAAAATTAAAACAAAACACCAAGAAATAGATTAATATTCCTAGATGATCTCTTTGCCTCATCATTTTATTTTTTATTTTTTAATATATTTTATTGATTTTTTACAGAGAGGCAGGGAGAGGGAGAGAGAGTTAGAAACATCGATGAGAGAGAAACATTGATCAGCTGCCTTCTGCACACCCCCTGCTGGGGAATATGCCCACAACCAAGGTACATGCCCTTGACTGGAATCGAACCTGAGACCCTTCAGTCTGCAGGTCGACGCTCTATCCACTGAGCCAAACCGGTTTCGGCCCCATCATTTTAAATAATTGTTCTTGTATAGTGAATCACATTCACAACCTAGGAAGATTGAAAGAGGCCGTTGTGATTTCCAAAGTTAAAATAATTTGTACCGGTGAAATATCTCATTTTTAAAAATACAGAAGGTGTAATTCGATTCATTATATGTGTCACTGTGTTC